TGGCCCTCCGGTCCAGTTTAAGAACCCATTGTGGCCGTCGAGTCAAAAAGTTTGCCCACCCCTGATCTAGACAAACAGAGAGAATCCAGAGGATGTGCGGGGTATGGAGACAACACCCAAGGGATGTGACTGGTGGAGCAGGATCTAGGGATGAGCATTGCATGGACAGACCTGGTCATTATCCACAACTCTCTGCAGGACTCCTTCAGGACAGGTGGGGCTGTGAGCCCAGAGGGAGGGGTCAGGACCTTGGGGAGGTCCTGTGGGACAAGTGCCAGCTCAATATACAAAAAGAATTTTCTTAAAATGACATCTAATTTGGGGTGGTCATGAGCACCCAACCATGAGAGGTGGCAAGCTGAGGAACGGCAGAGGTTGGCTTAGAGGTCCTTCGCTCAGAACTTCTTACTCTCTAAAATAATAATTTCCAAAGCACAGGAGGAAAATATTAGTTCATCTATCTCTACTGAACTTTTAACTAAAATAGTGAATAGTACATCGTTCAGCTCTGATGTGCACCCTCTGCCATATGTCAGACATCAAATGTCATGTCCCCTGAGGCCAGCGGGGAGCTCAACAATACAGACAGGTCTGCTGTGGCCACTCCACTTTCTACATTCACCCTGTTTTGACGTATTTCGGTGTACTAGTGCTGGGTTGGGTGGCTTTGAGGATCAAACAATATAGCTTTGACTGACTCAGCCCCCATAGCATGGACAAATGGCTTCAAAGAGTAACTATAAAGGAAACTCGAGTGGAGATAACACTAATCTAAGAAGTACAAGCAAGCAGCAGGAAATGTGGGAGACAGACCCCCCTCCCTCCCCAGTTCAAGTCCTTCATCAGTCACATTATCACGTTGAAAACAACAATGAATGTATACTTGCTTACTGAAATAATAATAAGAAGAAAAAACTATTTGAGATGTGAACGTCCATCACTATTATCAGTGAGAAAATTCACTACGAGTGTATATTGAGACGTTAGCTAATGGTCCACAGTACTTGTACATAATTTCTAAATTTATAAATATGTATCTACTAGAGGCCTGGTGCATGAAATTCATGCACCTGTGGGGTCCGTTCCCCAGACCCCCCAATATTCATGTATTTTTGTCTGTGTGTGTATGTATGCATATTTTGTTGTTAATCCTCACCTGAGGACATTTTTCATTGATTTTTAGAGTAGAAGGGAAGGCGAGAGACAGAGAGAGAAACATGGATGTGAGAAAGACACATCAATTGGTTGCCTCCTGCACATGCCCCCACCGGATCAGGCGAAACAACGCCACTGACAGGACCGACTGCTAGCGGCCACTGGGGCTCAGGTGTTGAGCGTATGGCGATTTTCTGTTTCTGCTTCCACTTGTGGTCAAGGTCCTGCTTGTAGGAGCTGCTGATGTAGCAACCACTTTCTGTCTTAATCTTCTTCTTGTCTTCCTGTCCTGACTGTCCCATAAACCCCTTCTTCTTCCGGTCCCACTTGGGCTGCTGCCGGCCCTTTCAGGCCCAGACCTCTGTGAAGACGTCCTCTACACTCTCTCCCTCCTCCCCTTCCTCCTCCTCCTCTTCCCCAGGATGCTCCACCTGCTGCGCTGGGCAGCTCCGGGCTGGGCCAGCCAGGCCCTCCTGCCGCTCCTGCCGCCCTGCTGGAAGCTGGCGATGGCCTTGCCGCTTGGCCCACGTCACCTGGCTGCTCAGGGCCCGGCTGGAGGCTGTGTTCT